CCTTGATTTCAATTCCTGTTCCACCCTTTCCCTGGTTTGGAAAGATATCGGATAGGAAATGCATACCATTGACTTCAGTGTGATAGACAGCTACATCAATCTGGGCTTTGGGTTTTCAGCCAATACATGATACACTGAAATGATACACCAGCTCATCATGTGAAGATCTGGAAATCCTTCATTCAACAACGGGAGTGAATGAGCTGTGTGCCGACTTTGAAATTCCATATTAAAGTTTCGTTTCTTCCTGTTAACCTCAGTCTAATGACCAACTCATTTCTCTCCTCTTTTTCTCCTTTGTACGGTGCTGCCTTTCTCCCCCTTTTGAACCCCTTAACTGGACAGACCCCTTCTCCACCCCACCCCTCTCCTCCAAACGAGGAGAGCTTTGCATGGCGACCTTGCACCGGCACCGCAATAACTGTCCTGCAGCCCGTTCCCATAACGGATTGTGTACACCCTCACGCACCCAAGCCGCATTTGCGACCCAGCCTTGAGGGCCGGCCCAGTTTTTCCTCCTCGCCCAAACCCTTTGTCGCGGCTCCCTACAAATCTGCTGGCTCCATCCCCGCAGACAGGGGGTTGCATGTTGGGCAATCGCGGTCGGGAAGTCGCTCCTTGTTACCCGACGCGTCATCCGATCACCAAAACACCCTGGCGCTTGCTGAGGAACATCCGAGTGGTAAAGCTGGACTGAAACCCAACCACGAAACCAGAGCGCAGAAAAAGGTCAGCAGTCTATATGTAGCTTGTTTATCTAACAGCACTTGTTCGGCTCCGTTTGGAAATTCCACTGCCCGTTCAGATGGCCAAACACAAGGCACCCGTTTTGGAGCTGAGGTCACTGTGGCACCAGCCTTCTCCCCTGCTTCCTCTGTAACAGATACTGGAAAATCTCTTCCTCCTCCTCCTCCTGCCCCTCCCAGGCCATTCTTTAATATTGTTCTCAGTGGAGACTCAGTTAGTTATGGTCAGAGCCATCCCTCCAGGACTCCACAGGCTGTTGGCAACACAAAGGCAGACTTCCCACATACGACTTGCAGTGAGGACAGGATGAGAAAGGAACCGTGCATTGCTCAGCCGCCGCCGCCGCCGCCACCCCAGCAACATCCATGCAAGGCAAAGGAACATGGCAGGGTACTTGGTTTTCTTCATAACCTTTTTTTCCTCCCCCTTTCACACAGCTGTATCTTTCTTTTCCTTCTCCCACGCACCAGTGCCTTCCTTTCCGATTTGGATGCATCCTAAGATCTTTCCCTCTCTCCCGCTGAATAACCGACAGCCTTTCCTTCCGAGATGGATGCATGTTTGTGTGGAGATTGCGGGTGCAAGGTTTGGGGTGGGGTGGGGAGTGCCTCAAGCCCAAACCGTACCGGAGAGGTTGGGATGGGTGCTATTCTGTGAAACCTCTCTGTCTTAGGCTAAAGGAAACATAGCAGCTGGCACAAAACTGCCCTCAGGTGATGACCGTGTATTCGAAGGGATTTTGGATTGCTTGATCTGTTGATGACAGGTGACCTGGAAGGTGGGTTTGGGGCCTGGGAGTTCTGTGAATTGTTGTCTTTTTTTTAATGGCCGCCGTGCAAAACTTGGTCCTTTGGGGAAATAATGTCGTCTCGCGAGGTGCCCTTTCGTCGAAGCGGCATCTTTTGCATGCCACTGCTCACCTCCACTGTTTCGGTCCCCCCCTCCTTGTGTAATGCCACGTTATCTCCCACAGGATGCGAATTGCTCTGCCGCCACCACCCCAGCTCATACAGAGGTTATAGTAGTGCCATTCCAACAGGTTTACCCCGACCGCGGGCAAGAAGCCAGCTCAAGCACACCTCCACCGCCTCTCCTGCCATATGGCCAAAGCTCTGCATTCTCTGACAACACGCCTGCTCCTGGCTTACTCCTGACCTTCCCGACATTAGACGATTTCATTCCCCCTCACCTTCAGAAAGGTTCCCAACATAACCAGCCGTCCTCTTCGTCGGGGATCGTGCCCCATGTTCGCCCGAAACTGCCTTCACTGTCGCCACCGCCACCACCTCCTCCTCCTGTGCTGATTCCTCCCGTCACGGAGGTCTCAGACAGTGTGTCGGAGCCCGAGAGCACAGGAATGATCTTGCGCACAGTAAGCCTTGCCACATGCCACCGTGACGGCTTTGCTAAATTTATGCTCCCGGATTAAATGACCTTATTTTTTTTCTCACTGGCATACTAAACTTTGAACAAGGTGCTCTCTGCCAACAGCATGACAACCGAAACCTTGTTTATGTGCTATTAAATTGCATGTGTGTCTCTTCCCCCACTTCTTGCTCAGTCACCCTTCGGCCGTGTAATGTTTCTGCCTTGTCCTTTCCTATTTGAAAACTCTACACCAGGGTTTCCCCAAATGTTTTGGACTACGGTACCCATCATCCCTGACCATGGGTAGCTAGCGGTGATGGGAGTTGTAGTCCAAAAGCAACTGGAGGGCCCAAGCTTGGCAAGCCCTGCTCTGTGCCTTTGGCCATAACCACAAGGCACATCCCAACTTGGTGCCCTGCAAATGGCGCTGTACTACAAATCCCAGCCTCCTGACCTGATGGAAGTACTCCATTTTAGTGTTCCACACTGCTTTAGACTACCTTCATGGAAGGACATAGGGTAGCTGTTATGCCAGTGTCTTTGGGCTTCTTCCTTTGTGGCAGCTTCGTATTCGCAATTTCACATCTGCGTATGAAAGCATGCCTGCCATTGTTGCGTTGCAGAACACATGACATTCCTTGGCCCCATTTAGTCACCTGGCAGTGGGAGGAGGTCTTTAAAGACAGCTTCACATGCAACGCCTTTCATAGAATCATAGCTGGAAGGGGTTCTGAGGATCATCTGTGTGTGTGTGTGATAATTTTTATTATTACACTAAAAAATAATTTTTATTAGTTTTCAATTACAATAACTCCATAAAAGCCTCATTGTCACAGTACCAAATTATAATACAATTCATATTTCCAATTGTTCAGATACCAAATTATATTATTTTGTTGGGCCCCCGCGTGCTAGAATTGATGATTCGATAATTTACTTTGACTCTGCATCCCAAAAGCTTATGAATTCCAGTTGCACACCAGTCAGAATAACAAAGCCTTATATTGCAGCTGCAATTTTAATGACTTCCACCCACATTAACACATCAAATAATTTGCAGTCCTACAGATGAAGTCTTTAAACTCTCTCTTTGGATTCTGTGCATCATCTAATCCAACCCCCTGCAAGCAAGGAAGTTGCCCCATACGGGGATCGAACCTGCGACTTTGGCATCATCAGCACCACGCTCTAACCTACTGAGCTATCTAAGCTCAGTGAAGGCTGGTGGGCTGTCTCTGCCCATGGCAGGCTACCTCTGTCCAGAGGGCCCCAATTAGAACAGCCAGACCTGGTGAAAAGTACTTTATGCCACCAGGATCTCCACACACAACTCTTCCAGTTTCAGGCTGCAAATTATGCCAGTCTCTATGGTTTTCTTCTTCAAGATTCAGCTTCTGCTGGATTGGCTTCCTTGAGTCTCAAAAGGCAGCCAGACACAGCAAAAACAACAACAACAAACCTATTTTAATGATGGGGCCGGGAGCTAAACAGGTCACCTCTCTTCCAGTTTCCCCCAATGGCTTTTATATACTTGCTAAAAGTGATTGGCGCTGTGGGTTAAACCACAGAGCCTAGGACTTGCCGATCAGAAGGTTGGCAGTTTGAATCCCCGCAATGGGGTGAGCTCCTGTTGCTCGGTCCCTGCTCCTGGCCAACCTAGCAGTTCGAAAGCACGTCAAAGTGCAAGTAGATAAATAGGTACCACTCCGGCGGGAAGGTAAACGGCATTTCCATGCGCTGCTCTGGTTCGCCAGAAGCGGCTCAGTCATGCTGGCCACCTGACCCGGAAGCTGTACGCCAGCTCCCTCGGCCAGTAAAGCAAGATGAGCGCCGCAACCCCAGAGTCGGCCACGACTGGACTTAATGGTCACGGGTCCCTTTACCTTTTTATAAGTGATTGTGGGACCAAATGGAGCTCTGGTGGTCGCTCTATGATTCTGTTGATCTTTAAATATCATGTAGCACAAAAAAAACCCCAGAGGGGCACATTTGGATTTGAATTTCCTGTGCTTCTGGTTTGATTCAAAGTGTTCCATTAAAAGAAGAGAGAGTGGGGGAGATGCAATTGAATTTTGACATTTTATCCCTCCGGGGAGGTAGGGGCAGCGCACATGGTTTCCCCAAACGCTTCATCCTTGTGGCATTAGGCTGAGAGGTGGTGGCTGGTCCAAGGCCATCCAGGGACTTTCAGTGCCCGATGTGAACACAGGCCATGCTGGTTTGAGCCCAATGATCCACCTACTGGCACTTCATGGAGTTGCTTTTACAGGAGAACCCAGAACAGGAAACCCCATTCCTTGAGATGGTCCTTCCTGGTGCACACTGGCTCATGCAAGTGGCTATGCATCATAAAGATGAGTAGGAGATCAGTATGGGCTGTATGTAGTTCAAATGCTGTTTATTCGATGTGCAGACATGGGTGGCGCCGTGGTCTAAACCACTGAACCTCTTGGGTTTGCCAATCAGAAGGTCGGCAGTTCAAATCCCCGCGACGGAGTGAGCTCCCATTGCTCTGTCCCAGTTCCTGCCAACCTAACAGTTCAAAAGCACGTCAAAGTGCAAGTAGATAAATAGGTACCACTGCGGCGGGAAGGTAAACAGCGTTTCCATGCGCTCTGGTTTCCGTCACGGTGTCCCGTTGCCCCAGAAGCAGTTTAGTCATGCTGGTCACATGACCCGGAAAGCTGTCTGTGGACAAACGCCGGCTCCCTTGGCCTGAAAGCGAGATGAGCGCCACAACCCCATTGTCGCCTTTGACTGGACTTAACTGTCCAGGGGTCCTTTACCTTTTTACCTTATTAAATGTGCACACTCACAGAATGGTGGAGTTGGAAGGGACCCCACGGATCATCTATTCCCAACCCCCTGCAATGCAGGAAACCTTTTGCCTGACATGGGACTCAAACCCACAACTTTGAGATTAAGAATCTCATACTCTACCAACTGGCTATTCCCGCCCCCCTTGCAGTTGCGCCCTAATTTTCTGCCACTCGCGGCTCACTTTGAACAAATCCTTCTGGTAGATCTAAACTGGAAATCTCAGGGTCAGTATGATCATTTCATCTTGACGGCCACCTTTACTCCACCGCCACAAAAATTAAACAGCAGTTCTTATGTCAGTGATAACAAATAAGCAGCTGGCTGCGGTTGGCCCAAGGATGTGATTCTCTACCTTCCTCTCTCCTGTCTCTGCCGGTTCCTCTCCACCTGTTCTTCGCATTGTCCTGATGTCCCCGGCGTCCTCCTGTCTAACAGCTTGCAAAGGGCAGTGCGTCCTAAAGTTATTTCCCTGATCCCCCTCATCAAGTAATCCGTAACCGGCTTTCGTTCAGGAACTGCATGGGTTTTGCATGCCTGATGGTTTCTGTGAAAGGAACACCTCTTTTTAAAAGGAAGCATGGGTCTGAACACACAGATCTCTCTCTCTCTGTCTCTCCATAACCAGAACAGCTCACTCCTGCCACCAGCTGTATGCCATGTATTACAGTTTCTTTGAGCGACGCTCCTTCTTCCAGTGCAAAAAGGAGTTTTGGCTCTTCCCTCTGTGTGTACTAACGGCAATGAGAAAGGCGCCGTGCCGGTGCATCGAACTAAACTTTTCTCGGGTTTGTTTGTTCTCTGTTGCAAAGCGGCTTTCCTCCAGGTACCCTGTGGCCCTTGGGCAATAACGGCATATATACCTTTCTGTTTCAGGATCCCTGTCCTCTGCTCTATGAAGCACCCAGGTCCAGCAGTGGCACAGAGTGCTATGGCTCCCTAACTCTCACCAGCAAACCCACCTCCGGGTACCCCTCCACCACCATTGTCAACCCCACCATCGTCCTTTTGCAGCACAACAGAGGTAAGGGTAACAACATATTGCCTTTCCCAGCTCAACTTGGGACAATTTTCAGCGAGGGCAATTACCATATTTTTCACACCAGACCATAAGGCGCAGCTAGTTTTGGGAGGAGGAAAACCAGAAAAAATTGTTCTGAATCCCAGAAGCCAGAACAGCAAGAGGGATCTGGCTTCTGGGATACCGTGTGGCTGTTCTGGCTTCTGGGATAACCGCGCCAAGCCTCTTCAGGGCAGCGGGATGAAGGCTCCCCCTGCCCAAAGAGGCTGCGCAGGGCTAAGGCGGAAGCCAGGACGGCGCGTCGCTGAAGGGGCGCTGCGCAGTTTTCTCTCTCTGCACAGCGCCTCTCCTTCACAGGAGAGACGCTTCGCAGAGAGGGAGAAGGCGCAGCGCCCCTTCAGCGAAGCTGGAGAAGGAACAGAAGGGGCTCCGTTCCTCCTCCCGCTTCACTGAAGGGGCGCTGCGCAGCTCTCCCTCTCTGCACAGCGCCATTCGCTCCATGAGAAGCACTCACATTTCTCCTTACTTTTCAGGAGGAAAAAAGTGTGTCTAATGGAGCGAAAAATACGGTATATATGACAGGGTAATCGCAGTGGGATGGGAGTAGGGCTGGGCTATATATCGATACATCATCCAAAACCGGTTTGAAGTCATGATATTGGTTTCATAATTTTTCGATCTGGCAGTCTATCGCGAAGCATGAGTGTGTGTGTGTGTGTGTGTGTGTGTGTGTGTGTTATGCAAAAAATCACAATGTGGGGGAAACCATGAAGCCAGCCAATGCTTCTCTCGATTCCTGCAGCCCCTCTGCTGGCCCAGCTCTTCCCTGTCTCATGCAGGGGGCAGCCAATTACAAGAGCAGGCGGCAGAAAAAATCAGGATGCGGGGAAAACTGTGAAGCCAGTTAATGCCTCTACATAGCTCCATCCTTATTTCAGACGCCGTGATATATTGGTGCATCACAATGTTTAGCTGGTGATATCTGGTTTTCAACTCCGTGATGTATTACCCAGCCCTACTGTTTACCTCCTTATTTCAGACATTGTGATACACATATGCACATATATATACACTCACACCGTACTTTTCCGTCTATAAGACGCCCCCCATGTATAAGACGCCCCCTATTTCTGGGGACTGAAATTTCAGAATATGGGGGGAGATGGCAAAAAGTTGTTGGGGAGGGGAATTACCGAGGGTTGCTAAGCTTTTTTTAGAGGGGAATGCCGAAAATCGCTCACCCACACACATCGCAAAATCCATCTCCCATCTGTCTCCTCGCCGGCAGGAGCTGCCAATCCCCTCCCCCCCAATTGCCACAGCGTCGGCCAATCAACAACACCCATTGATGCAGCAACCAATAACACACACAATAGCCGCTGACAGCCACGGCAGCAACCAATCAAATGTCCACCCTGTGCACTACCTATGTATAAGATGACCCCCACTTTTTTGCATGATTTCTAAGGGTAAAAACATAGTCTTATACACGGAAAATTACGGTATATCTCTTTATTTATCTTATCTGTAAACTGCCTGAAGATTTTTCTTTAAAATAAAAACAAAACTGCAGGGAGGCTTCACAGCATGTTAACTTTGAGATTAAGTGACGACCTTGGAAACCCTTCATTTTAATTTTGCCTCTGACCATTAAGTCAATAAGTGGCCTTCGATAAGGCACCCTTCCTTTCATCCTTAACCCGCACCTGCAATCTGAATATAATAATTATTTACCTGTCTTCCAAAGTCGTTGCAAAAGGTCACAAGATAAACAGTCTAAAGTGATATATAGATACTAATAATAAACTCACTGCTTGGAGCTGTGTGTTTTTTTTGAGCTTTGATATTTATACATCCTGTTTGGAACAACTGTGAAAGCGTTTTACTCCCTCGCTGTATCAATGACTTGGGAACGTTGTCTAGCACTGCTGTTTTGAAGTTGTGCAGGGCTGAACATTCATTTGCTTTGGTGGAAAGACCTTGGGTTCAGGATCTGATAAGGAGGCACCTAAGCCCTTGTGTACAGCATGTGTTATTTATGCCTGCCCAGATCACTGCAAGAGTTGAGAGCTCTCACGTCTCTGGTGTTTGTACCACTTATTTGTCTGTCGTTTTCTCCTCTCCCACAGAACAACAAAAAAGGCTTAGTAGCCTATCAGGTACGGTCCCCAAATGTTGCCACCTCCTTTTCTTCTCCTGTTCTCCTGCTGCTGTGTTCGCCTGAAAAGCGCACTGCTTTGTGACTTAGCAGAGTACCTTTAGTGAATCCGCGACTGAAGAGCCTTTACTGAAAGGGGTAGATAAATTATTGTCCGCTCAGTCACTGCAAAGTATATCCTCTCTCTTGAAAGCGCTGGAAGGAGCATGCAAATTCTTTTAAGACTGCCTTGGGTGTATTAGATTCTGAAAGGCGAGACTGTATACGGTAGTCAATAAATATGCTTGACAGCTACACAGTGCCTTGCTGCTGAAAAAAAAGATACTGAGCTCCCCCAACACAACTATTCTGTCCAGTTCTGCAATAAATTTGCATGCGTGTCTTTGCACAACCACTGCACCTCACCTCAGCCAATTCCTGAGGAGAGCTCCCATCCTGGATGAAAAATAGTGTGCCCCACATACCTGCCTTCAGATAGTAACGTGCTTTAAAACTGAACATTCTTTTAAATGACGCTAAAGGGGACCGAAATGTAGAGGGGGGAAAGGAACAACTACATTTATCGACTGATTACACTTACGGGATGCTAACAGGCCAGGTTGCCAGTGTAAGTGCGGTAAGCTTTTCCCTTTCTGAACTTTCTTGGGTTGCCACTTTTATATATATATATATATAACTGTTGGCTCGCTTGTTAGGCTTCTCACCCATTTCCTTCTCCTGTAAGAGAAGAGCAGCCTGGCACCTGTGTATTTATGAAATCCCCTTTTAAAGCTGTCTCAGCTTAGTGGCTTTCGCCACATCCTGTGGCAGCTCCTGCCATAAATTAATTGATCCTGTGAAGTATTTTCTTCCTACCGCCACCAAGAAATGTCACTTTACCTTCCTCGTTAGGGACGTGGGTGGCGCTGTGGGTTAAACCACAGAGCCTCATGGGCTTGCCGATCAGAAGGTCGGCGGTTCGAATCCCCGTGACGGAGTGAGCTCCCATTGCTCGGTCCCTGCTCCTGCCAACCTAGTAGTTCGAAAGCACCTCAAAGTGCAAGTAGATAAATAGGTACTGCTCCAGCGGGAAGGTAAACGGCGTTTCCGTGGGCTGCTCTGGTTCGCCAGAAGCGGCTTAGTCATGCTGGCCACATGACCCGGAAGCTGTACGCTGGCTCCCTCGGCCAATAAAGCAAGATGAGCGCCACAACCACAGAGTGGGTCACAACTGGACCTAATGGTCAGGGGTCCCTTTACCTTTACCTACCTTCCTTGTAGACATCGTACACAATCTTAGAAAGCAACATTGTGGGCCCATCCCCTTTATGCATTTATTTGTTATTATATTTATAAGCCCACCTCTCCTCAAAGGAACGCACAGTTCGTGGTTCTCCCACAATCCATATCTCAACTCCCCTAGGAGGTAGGTAAGGCTGAGAGATGCTCACTGGCCCAAGGTCACCTAGTAAGGTTCATGGCACAGCTGAAATACGAATCCCGGCCTCCCAAGTCCTAGTCTGACTCTCTAACCACTCTTAGTCATGTTTATTTTCTAAATGAAAAATCCTCTTTAACTCTTATTCCACCTAGAGGTGCTGGTTCAACTCCCGGCTCAAAGTGAGCCTCCTATACCAGTTTCTTTCCCATTTGTAAAGTTTGGAGAGATCCGTTTGAAACAGTGCACTTGTACCATTCTAATAAATTTGGTGTCACAAGCAATCCTGGCCACTTCCCTGTTCAAGCTGAACAAGTTTAAACAAGCGCAAGTTGTAGTAGAGATCCTGGGAGAAACCTACTTGTTTCTTTCCATCTTTGAGATTTCTACTCATATTATGTGCTCAATCTGGGACAATTACTTTTTTGATGTTCCTTTCGGTCTAGGTATCTATGACCCCAGAACTCAGTTTAAATTTCCCACTTCTAAAACCTGGTGGTCTTTCTCTGGTTTGCTTTCCATAAAACAACAACTTTTTCTTAGC